CAGTGGCACCTGGTTCGGAACACAAGCTCATTGCAGACGTCTTATTGGTCAGTGACAGCATGGACCCGCCTACAGCACTTTCTTGCAGACTGCTGGAGCCATTTGACACCTCACTGCAAGAAGGGAAATTAAATAAATAACCAAATAAAACTTTTGATGAAGCCTACCATGGGAAACAAACAAACCAACAAAAACTAAATCTACTCAGTGCACTAACCTTTATCACTTAAATATTCATTTTAGCAGACTTTTCAAATTCTGATATTTGGTATTCAGGCATTGTGTGTAATCTTTCTTAGTTGGAGCTGTGAGCCGTACTTCCTTTTTTATTTTGTATTGCTTCGTTTTGGGATCACTATGAAGGAGAGTTTATTCTTTAGAAGTAATTAGGCCCCTCTCTAAAGGGTTTTAGAATATTCTCTTAAAGTGGTGTTAAATATTTAGCATGGTACCCAACTGATAAAGACTGAATACAGGACAGGAGACTCAAAGCTCTTTATGATAATAAACAGTTCGAAAAGACTGCCTTTTCTTTTAGACCACTGTTCATACAAAGTTTGTTCCCGAAAACCAAAGTATATGTTATCTTTACCAACACAACATAAAACAAGTACAACCCACAGTATTGTAGTTTTGCCTACATTGTAATTTAGTCCTCTTTATTAACTTAAATTGAGTTTCTTATCTTTAAGGCTGCAGGTATCCAAGCTAAATCATGAAATAAAAGTTAATTTTAAGGATTTAATTAAAAGGTAACAAGAAAATCAAAATTACATCAGACAATAGGAGCTTAAATTATACCTTAATTATTAACTCACCCAAGAGCCATGGAGATTTCCTCCAGCTGAGCCTTGTGCTCTGGTTGTCCATTCTCTGTAGGTTTCAGCTTGTACTGCTGAACGTCATGTAGTCCTTGGTTTTCCTGCATCAGAAATACACAATTTATGGCATGTTTTTATTGTTTTTGGAGTAGCAATTGTTATCTAGTTCTACTGTAGCTACCAATTACATTATCATTTGGTTTAAATGTTAATTTTGTTATGAGCAGAGGCAATTGTTTTGTGTATTCAAAAGTATTCACTATAATAAATCAAAAGAGCAACTCACAACTCACAACAACCCTCCCACATTACAACTTGCTCTTCTTACCATAGCCATCTCACGGGTCCTTTTCCCAATCTCTCTCTCCACCTGGTGGAGCTCCAGGCTTAACTGTTCACTGGAGACAGTGGAGGCAGCTGCTCCCCCTGTTGGCCACTTAGTCTGTTGTTGCTGAGCTGCTACTGCAGCCTGGCCTTGGCAGGACTGCACAGACTGACCTGCCAATGCACTGGCCTCTCTCTGCAGCAGTAAAGAATTACTGGCAGCCTAAAACATTAAAACAGGAAATAAGGTGAATGAAACTTCAATTTGGTGAATTCTGTAATAAATCAGTAGACAGGATTCCAGAAATCCTAAATATTCTAAATAATCATTTGAAACTTTATGCTGAGAATAAAATAAAATTAGACATGCATTATTACTTATTGCCAATTATTAATTTCTGCAGATTCTTACTCTCAAAACTCTTCTGACAACATCGTGCCTTAAAATATTAGTAATTTTACAAAATAATGAACACGTTAATGTTGATTCTGACAGGATTACTATTCAGTTTTTTGCAAACAGTAAATAAGGATATTTGTGGGGATTAGTGTTTTCAGGCAGACATATGAATGAAAATAAGTTAGAATGGATACATACCTCCATACTGTGCATCTGGGTCTGCTGGGTGATCTGCTGGTTAACCTGCTGTAGCTCAATTTTTAACTGTTCTCTGTCTTGGGCTGCTAAGGGAAGGCTAAGAAGGTGACACACAAGGAAGTGTAACCATTAGATGTCACAAATTTCAACATTTTATATTTATCTCATATGAATTACAGTCAAGCTGATATTTTACCACAAAAAACTTTACCATGTATGTTTTATATTTATGCAATGATGAATATAAGGACATAAATACAATGTAAAAAATCCCATGCTACATTAAACTACTGAACACTAAAAGGGTAAAAAAAACAAAGAAGGAAAACCAAAGCCAGGACTCACCGCTCACTGAAGTGTCCCTGAGAGGAGGTGGCAGGCTGGTGGGAGGAGTATGCTGCTCCACCCCAACCTCCATGGCTTCCATATGTATATTCTGCAGCTGGTGAAAAGGGTGAAGCAGATTGTATGAACAATTTGTAACAAATATTATATATACACATGAACCATAACAGTGACATAGTGTAGACCAGAGGAAGTTGAATTTCCTACCTGGCATAGCCATATGTTTTGAATTAGGATTCTGAGGAGCGGTTGCCATTGCCTGCACTGGGCAGGTGGTCTGGTAGCCTGTCTTTGAGGTGCGTGAGATGGCCCCAAAACGTGATACCGTGGGCTGGGGGCCAAATGGAATTATGGGGTCATCGTCCTTTGCTTCTGCACCCCTGCGTGGAGCCTCTAAAGAAGGTTCTCGAAGACTCTTGGCCTCCACATTCTAACAGACACAGAGGAAACAGAGGCAGGATAAAAGTACTGTGATGTGGGGAGAT